TTCCCTTTCTAGCTCCGTTATGAGGTTCCGGAGTCTTCCTGGCTAGTGGACTGCCCCTTGTTTGTTCTGGATTCTTGGCATTCCTTCTGTCGTTCCCGCACGCTGGAGTGGCGGGAAGCTTCCACAGTGATTCAGGTTTTCCTGGGGGGCGAGCTTGAGTACCTGAACGAGTGCTTGTTTGCCCCTGCCCTTCCCCGTGATGTGGGCGTTGTTCAGCTCCATGTACAGCTCCATTTCGGCAGTGCTCATGGTGGAGGACTTGCGCGCCCAGGGTCTTTTGGCTTCAGCCTTGCGGTTCTTTTCCCTCCTGGAGCTGTCCTCTGATTGGCTCGTGGAGGATGTGAGGACGCTTGGGTCTGTCCCGGGGTCCGGCGCCTTGTCCTCGGCAGCGCGTTCATCGGCTGTCTTGTTGAAGCTTTTCACGCCGATTTTGCGGGATGCGGTTTCCCTGTTTTGTGCTTCCCTTCTCGCGTGTTGGGCAGGCGGACCTGCGGTGCAAGGCAGGTTTCTTCCCAAACGCTCTGTCAGGTCATCTTGGAGTGGGTTCGCTTGGGCGTCGTCGAAACGACGTTGTCCCTCAGATGGGTTTCCCGTCTGTTTCCGATCCCAAAACGGGACTGCGCGGACCTGCAGTGCTGGGTTCTTCCGTGGAATCTGCTTGGGCTCTGGCTCTTAGGCTGTCGTCGCCTTTTTGTCCTCTTCTGTTTGAGGAGTCGGCCATGACGCAGTTTATCCAGGCTGCGTCGTCGGCTTGTTGTCCAATGTCGGACTTGTTGGTTTTCCGAGTGTCCCGGGGTGGGTCTTCCCGGAAGGGTCATGCCAGGGCTCGGGGTTCCTCTCGTGGTGGTAGGCCACTGGTGTCAGGTTCGGGTTCGGCTCCTGCTTCGGATCACCCTCGTTTGATCGGCACGGTGTTCTCTCTGTGCGGGGTTCTGGGTCTCGTAAAGGGGCGCTGGCCCTTTCGCGGTTAGCCCCATTGACAGGGGGAGGGAGGCTTGGGCTGTTCGCCTACGCCTGGTCCCACGATTCGTGGGCGTTTCGGGTCGTGTCTGTTGGCCTGCGGTGGCATTGGGGGCCCCCCCTTTGGGGGGGGGGTCGGGGCAGGCAAGGCAGGTTTCTTCCCAAACGCTCTGTCAGGTCATCTTGGAGTGGGTTCGCTTGGGCGTCGTCAAAATGATGTTGTCCCTCAGATGAGTTTCCCGTCTGTTTCCGATCCGAAAACGGGACTGCGCGGACCTGCGGTTCATTCTGGACTTGTCCCGTCTGAACCCCTGGGTTTATTGCCCCTTTTTTCGGATGACTACGCTGTCTCGGGTTCGGCTTCTCTTGGAGCCGGGCGCTTGGATGGTGTCCCTGGACCTCCAGGACGCTTATTGGCATGTCCCGATTCATCCGAGGTTCCGGGACTGGCTCAGTTTTGTTGTGGGGCATCTAAGTTACCGCTTTCATTTTCTCCTGTTCGGGTTGAACCTGGCACCTCGCGTGTTCACGCACCTTACGCGGGTCGTGATGGCCCGTTTGCATCTCTTAGGTGTTCGGGTGTTGGCCTACCTCGACAACTGGCTGGTTTGGGCTCCCAGCCGGTTGGCTTGCTTGCTAGCCAAGGATTTGGTTCTTTCCCAGCTCGCCGGGTTCGAGTTCTTGGTGAACTGGAGGAAGTCCCATCTGGTCCCCTCTCAGGTTCGGACTTGGCTGGGTCTTGTTTCGGACTCTTGGACCGCTTCCTTGTCTCTCCCTCCGGAGTCTCTCCTGCGGCTGTGGTCCCGCCTTCATCTGTTTTTGGTGGGCCCTCGGGTCACCCAGGGGCTGTGTGGGAGCCTGAACTTCACGATGGTAGTCTACCCGCCGGGTCAGGTTTGGCTTCATCGGCTGTTCTGGTTCCTTTGGGGTCGCCCCTTCCGCCTTTCTCGTGATCGCTGGGTTCAACCCCCGGGAGCCTTGTGTCGGCTGCTGCGTCGCCGGCTTCCTCTTCGGGTTTTTCGAGGTTCAGTGCCTTGGCGCCTACCCGAGCCCTCGCTCGATGTGTACACGGATGCGTCGTCTCTCAGCTGGGGCTTTGTGACCAGTGCCTCCAGCCGTCTCAGGGCTTTGTTTCACCTCAGTGCTCACGCCGCCTAAGCCGTCCTGGTCTTTAGACAGGGTGCTAGCTGTTTCGTCTCCTCGTTTCATTGTGGCCCCTTCGGTCCGGGATTGTTTCTTCAAGGCTCTTTTCTTATGATCATTAGCCTCTGGGGTCGGGTCGGGGAGCTTCATGCTCTCCTCCGGCGCAGGGGTTTCTGCTCTTTTGGTCGTGGTGATTGTTTTGTTCGCTTGCAGCCGTCTCCTTCTTTTCTGGCAAAGAATGAGACTGCTGCATTCCGGAGGGGTCCGTGGGTGGTTGATGCTTGGTTGGTACGGCCGGGGGTGCATCATGCTTTGTGTCCGGTTGCAGCGCTTCGCTGTTATTTGCGCACCACGGCTTCTGTGTCCGGGGACGCGTTTTGGGTTGATCCGGTTTCCCTTCTTCCCTGTTCGCGGGTTCGGGTCTCCCAGGTCGTCCGCAGGGTTATCAAATCCAGCCAGCCTGTGGTCAATCCCCGTCCCTATGACATCCGTAAGTTTGCGGCTCTTGCTGCCGTCTTTGGAAATATGTCTTGGTCTGATATTTGGGCCCGGGGTTTTTGGCGGTCGAACAGGGTCCTGGCTGCTCGTTACCTCGTGAATGTCCCTGGGCCCCGTTGGTCCTGTGTTGCTTTGGGTCAGCAGTTGCAGCCAGTTGTCTCGACTTTGAGTTGAGGAGTGAGCGACGACCGCCTCCTAGGTAAGATCCTCTATTTTTCCGTCTGTGGGTAGTTAGCTCCGGGGAGCCGACGGGGCTCCCCCCAGGAAACCAGTGTTGAATGTAATGAAACGCCATTTTCTGGGTGAGACCCAGAAGCTCCCCGGCATCCCTCCCTCCCTCTGGTCGGTGTTTTTTTTGTGTTTTTGACATCCGCCTCAGAACTGAGGTGTGGGTAGCCGGCGTGAAGGATCTGGGGCTCCCCCTTCCCTCTCCCGGGGAGGGGGAAGCTGCGCAGACAGCGGCGCAGCGACGTCGCACTAGTTTGCTTGTTTTTCTGTTGGGGAGTTCTATCCAGTAGTTCGGCTTTTGATAGCAATTTTAACCAGAATAGGGGTTTGTTTTGAGGCGCTTACCTTTCTGGGTGCCTGATCCAGTCGATGGCAGACATAGTGGCTTCCAACCACACGGGGGTTTCTATAGGCCATTGCTTCCCTTGCCTCTCTAAGGGGGGCCCGGTTCTGGCCGAAGTCCTCGGTTGGCCTAAGAACTCCATACACATGACTGAGGCCAAAGTCTGACATTAGCATATCAGCCTGGGATAACTCCAGGGAGCCTCCGGGACTCACCCAGAAAATGGCGTTTCATTACATTCAACACCGTTTTTTTCAATTGGTTGAAACAGAGGACCTATGAAGTAACAAATTCTTATTAAGATGTCTCTGGAGACCTGCAGGCCACAAATTTCATAACATTGTTTGTGGTGGAGAAATGAGATCACTGAAAATTGAGGCTTTGAGTTATGAAAAACACCATTATGAACAAATTAGTCTGCAGGCTCATGCATTCTCAGACAGGATAACATATTGTATTGGCACCACAGAAAACTTTTCAAGCTATTCCTGTGAAGTTATAAATGTCACCAGAGAATATTTAATCTGGCCCAGCATGACTGATTGGTCAATTCATAAACTCGCCGTTCTTCTGAATCCTCCGTTGACATCACCAGTGACATCCATGAAAGCACATTGGATAACTACCAGCCAGCGTGCTTGGATCCCTATGCTGACAGCCACCAGACAGTAGCACCACATACCTTCATGGTTCTTGCCCCTGGACCACCCAACACACTTCCTAACTCAAACTTCCTCTGAGCACAGGTGAAATGGAGTAGCAAGGGTGGGATTGAACAGCAGAATGATCCAATCAGAAAGCTGCTTCTTATATACAGCATATAATTCAGCTGCTTCTTATATACAGCATATAATTCAGCTGCTTCTTATATACAGCATATAATTCAGCTGCTTCTTATATACAGCATATAATTCAGCTGCTTCAAAGGGTAAGTCTAAAAAATGGAAGAAAAAAATGAGAAGGCACCGGTGGCTTGTAGGGTGTTGTAGGTTGAACACACCACTTGGCCAGAGTGGTAATTAATTTAGGTAATCACTTGGTTGTTACCCGTGTTACCAAGGTCAGATTTGATATGGTTTGACTTTTCTAAAAGAGATGCTGTCAGCTATTCTGTGCTAGAATGAATTTTTCAGGAATTCCTTATCATTTTATAGAAATTCGGGGACAACATGAAATGTTTCCTATAGCACTGTACTGTGTTGTTCTGCCTAACTGCATGTTCTTTTCCAATGGAAATTGCTAAACCCTTGGTGTGTGCCCAAAAGTAAATGTTCCCAGTATCTCGAGGTCCTGCTCAGCTACACCTCAAATTTGTATACTGTATTTACATTATTCAGTATTTTTGGTTGTTATAACTATACATTTGGTGTCAAAATGTTTGCAAATGAATGTTGTTAAGTATAGATGCAAAAAAACAAAAAAGTAGTTTTCATAATGCAGTAGATTATGTGTGATGGAGCTGAAAATATGATTCCTTATTAACATTTCAACAAATCTCATTTTTTTTTTCACTGTAAATAGAAAATATTGTATACTGTGTATGTATTTAATTGTGCACACATGATCAGTATATATAACAGTAAAAGGAAAATAAATATAACATTCAAGATTTTTATGTCAGGTAATTTGCATAGGAATGTACTCACATGCAGAGCAATTATTCTCTTGAGCGATGGGGTGGTTGGCTGAGGGAATCTGTTAGCCCGATACAGTACTTTGGTGTGTTCCCCAATAAGCTCTGCCTATTGGAATGTTTACTGTCGAAATACAGAAGAGACATTTTAGCAACATCATAATGCTAAAGAGTTAACAGGTTTATTTATTACAGGATGTACTGATTCTTTCCCAATTTATGCGTGCTGATGGTGGTATGTTGCATCGGCGTATCACAGGACTCTGTGGAAAACAGCAAAAAAGAGTCAGACTTTTAGTGGCTATGGCACAGAGAGCTGGTAAGGACATTGTAACTTATTTAGTATTTTAAATTTAATTCTGATTTGTTGATAACTAGTTTTGGATGCTTTATTATAATGAGTTGAGTAAATATTCTCTAGATTTGTTTTGTGTTAGCAATTTTGTCAGCTTTGGTAACCGGGTTGGTTACCCAGTTTGAAGTCTTGGAGCTGCCCCGCTTGGGATTTAGGGACCAGGATTTAGGGATGTTGGTTAGTTCAACCGTGGCTCAATCCGTGTCCTTGCTTCCTTCCCAGGTGGGTTTGTTTGCTGACCCCCCCCTTCCCCCCCTTTCCCCACTTCCAGCTCCCAAACATCTGAGGGTTTCTGGGCCAGGGCAGGGTTTAGCTTGTGATGAAGCTTGGGTAGCTTTAGGAATTGCCCCTTCCGATTCGGGGACGGATGTTGAGCCTGATTTCCCCGTTGAGGCTTCAGAGTCACACCAGCAGGCTTCTTTCTTTGAAGCTTTTTCCCAGGACTTTTTTCAGTCTGCCCTCTGTTCAGGGTGGTGGGGATGGAAGAGGGCTCTGCCCCAGGGACTGTGTCGGGGGTTCCCGGGGCTCTGGCGAAGTCTGCTCGGAGCACTTTGGCTCCTTTAGATCTACCTGGGCCCTTCTGCTTTCTGGGCAGGATTTATTGTTGAAGGGCCCCACCCTTCTTTTCTGGCGAAGAACAAGACGGCTGCTTTCCAAAGGGGTCCTTTGATCATTGATGCTTGGTCAGGCCGGGGGAATGCATCATGTGTTGTGTCTGGTTGTGGCTCTTCGCCATTATCTGCACGCTTTGGCTTCGGTGGCTGAGGATGTGCTTTGGGTTCATCTGGTTTCCCTCGTTCCCTGTTCCAGGCTCGGGTCTTCCAGGTCATCTGCAGGGTAATTAAGTCTAGCTAGCCTGCAGTCTATCACCCGTGTCCATGACGTTAGGAAGTTTGCTGCTTTGGCTGTCATGTTTAGTAACATGTTTTAGGCTGATGTTTGGGCGCAGGGATTTTGGAGGTCGGACAGGATCCTGGCCGCCCGTTATTTGGTGAACGTGCCTGCTCCTGGGCGCTTCTGTTTTGCTTTGGGTTGCAACTTTGGGTCTCGACTTCACATTGAGGAGTACTGTATGTGGTGACCGCTTCCTGGGTTAGTCCCTCTTTTTCTTATCTTTGGGTATGTAGCTCCAGGGATCTGTAGGAGCTCCCCACAGAAAACCAGCGCTAAATGTATTGAAACTCCATTTTCTAGGTGAGCCCCGGAGGCTCCCTGGCAACTCTCCCTTCCTCCAGTCGGCAGTTTTTTGCGTTATTTGATGCTTTGCTTTCGAACTGGAGTGCTAGGTAGCCGGCGTGGGGAGCGAAAGGCTGCGTGGACAGAGCACGGCAGTAAAGTGTGACATTTGCTTGTTTGCTTGGATTGGAGGGAATTCTGCCTCTTTTTTTTTTTTTTTTTTTTTTTTTTTTTTTTTTTTTTTTTTTTTTTTTTTTTTTTTTTTTTTTTTTTTTTTTGTCCTCCTCTTACCATGTGGGGTTTGTTTGGTTATGCCTACCTTTTCTGGGTGCCAAACCTCAGTTGATGGCTGATAAGGAAAACCCCCAACCAACTCGGAGGGGTTGGGGGTTTTCCAGGGCCATTGCTCCCTGAAACCTCTGAGGGGGCCAGGTTCTGGCTCATGATCCCCGATAGGCTGAATACCATAGACTAATGCCCCGGTCTAATATATAACACATTAACCCAATAGCTCCAGGGAGCCTCCGAGGCGCACCCAGAAAATGGCGTTCCAGTACATTCAACGCTGGTTTTCTGGGGAAAGCTCCTTCGACTTCCCGGAGTTATACAGGCTGATAACAAACTTTGGCATCAGTCAATGTGAATGGAGTTCTATAGTCCCTCTGTGAGGGACCACGAGCCCCTCACAGAGGCAAAGGAGCAATGGCCTATTGAAACCCCCATGTGGTTGGAAGCATTCTATGTCTGCCATCGACTGGGTCAGGCACCCTAAAGGTAAGGGCTCCAAAACAAACCTTTATTCTGGTTAAGAAATTACTACTGAAAGCCGAACTAGTGAACAGAACTCCCCAAACGAAAACGAGCAAAATAACATGATGTCACCACGTCGATGCATCACTTGTCTATGCAGCTCCCCCCCCTCCCCAGAAGGGGGAAGGGGGAGCCCAAGACCCTCACACCGGCTATCCACACCCCATTTCTTTGGCTGATGTGATTGGCAACGGTCGTGTGACTTTGGCTCCTGTTTTCCTGTCCTTCATCTCTGTGCCTTGTGGTGTGGTGCTGTTTCTCTAGTGGTGTGAGAGCCAGGAGTAATTTGACAAGTACTCAGGCTGTATGTGCCTAGGGTCACCTTCCCTAGGTGCCCTGTAAGTACAGCCCATGGGGCTTGGAGCTACCTTCCACAAGTCACCTTGGGATCCATCTCTGCTTGGTCTTTTCCTGCTCGGTGGTTGACCGCCCTTAGTGTGCTGGGAGTGGTATGGGTTGAAGCATATGGGCCTGAGTTGTGCACCCTTGTTTGCCTTTGGATAGGGGTAGTTTGAACTCTTAGGGGGTGCAGGGTGCTGCACAGCTTGTTTTCACCTCTCATAGTGGCCGACTCTGTTCCACCTTGATACATTGTCCTCTTGATGGGTTTTTCTTTTGTTTTTTGTTTCCTGCCTGGTGGGGGTTCTGCCCTTGGTTTTGGTTACCCCCCCCTATTGTACTTAGTGATCCCCTGCTTGACCCCCGTGAGTGGACATATCCCAGGGTTCAGCTTTTAATAGTTTTCTTGGTTGACTGGGGTGCCGGTTAGCAGTACCCTGCCTGGGCTTCCCTTAGCGTGTTTCCCATCTAAACAAAAATTCCCGTGTTTCTAAGGGACCTGGGAAACCCTGCGGGGGGCACTTGGGTCCAATGGATGCGTCCCCTGGGTTCCCTCTCGCCTTGTGTGAGTTTGAAGGTTGCTCTGTCCCCTTGTCTCGTAGGGGGTCTCGTAGCCTGGTGGATAGCGCGCAGGATTCGTAATTATGTGGCGCGGGTTCGATTCCCGCACGAGGCAGAAACAAATGGGCAAAGTTTCTTTCACCCTGAATGCCCCTGTTACCTAGCAGTAAATAGGTACCTGGGAGTTAGTCAGCTGTCACGGGCTGCTTCCTGGGGGTGGAGGCCTGGTCGAGGACCGGGCCGCGGGGACACTAAAAGCCCCGAAATCATCTCAAGATAACCTCAAGATAACCTCAAGATTGTCTCAGGGTGATATTCACCTCTTCTACCTCCATCATGCTGCCTGCTGGATCAGTGATACCTTCAACCCAGAGTCCTGCGAGTTTTGTTGCTTGTTTTTGACTCGGTACACCCAGTCCACTGATGACTGTTCGGGTGCAGGCAGCTCAGGCATTGCATGCTAGGTTTAGGTTGCTGCAACACACTTGGTTGGTTGCTGACCCGGAAGCCCCGAGGCTGCCCCATTTTGGTTATAGGGATCTAGACTTGGGGGTGTTGGTCGCTTCGACCTTGGTTCAGTCCACGCCCTCTCGTCCTTCCCTCTGCTGTGGTTCTTTCTGGTTCCCGCCCCCCCCCCTTCTTCTGGTTCCAAAGCGTCTGAGGGTTTCGGGAATTCGGGTTGGAGACTTGGGCAGTCTCAGGGGATGCCCCTTCTGGGTGGCAACGAATGCATTCGAGCCTGTTCCTCCTGAAGTATATGGGTCTGACTAGTGGACCCCCTTCCTTCTGGCTTTTATGGCTGCCCCAGTTTTTTCTTGAGGCAGGGGCTTTGGGGGACGGCTTGGCCCCGGGTCCTGCTGTGGAGATTCCTGGGGAGGGGAAGGGGGTAGGGGCTGATTTGGGGGTCTTGGGCCTTGTGGGACCACACTTGGGCTTTTGTGCCCTCTGAGCAGGGTTTACTGTTACAGAGGGTGGGGTTTTCTTTTCCCCTCGCCTCATATGGGTTGGATTTCGTGTCGGCCCCTCCCCAGGTTCAGTTTCATGTCCCATTGGGTCCGTTGGTCCCATCCTTCTGGAAGTTTTCGGTTTCCTGTTACCTGCCACCTGAGATGCAGGAAGCCATTACGGTTTACCTCCTGTGTGGTTTACCTATCTTGAGGTTATCTTGAGATGATTTCGAAGTTTAGCGTCCCCGCGGTCTGGTCCTCGACCAGGCCTCCTCTTTGTTACACACCCCCAGGAAGCAGCCCATAGCAGCTGTCTATCTCCCAGGTACCTATTTACTGCTAGGTAACAGGGGCATCAGGGTGAAAGAAACTTTTCTGTGGGGAGCCCCTACGGCTCCCTGGAGCTTATCGGGCTAATGTACATTATATTAGACCGGGACATTAGTTATGGAGTTCAGACCTACCAGGGACCAGCGCCAGAACCTGGCCCCTTCAGAGAAATTTCAGGGAGCAATGGCTCTGGAAAACCCCCTTGTGATTGGGGGTTTTCCTTATCTGCCATCGACCGGGGTTAGGCACCCAGAAAGGTAGGCATGACAACACAAACCCCACATGGTAAGAAACTAAAACAAAAAAAAAGAACAGAGAGGTAGAAACTCCCTACAATCCCAAGGAAGCAAGCAAACAAGCAATTATCACAATTTACTGTCGCACCAGTCGTCTGCGCAGCCCTCCCCTCCCCAAGAGGGGGAGGGGCGGGGCCCGGACCTCACCACGCCGACTGCCTTCAGTTCGTAAGCTAGTGCCAACCGGGACAGACACTTCTCTGGCCTCAAATTCCTGGGTGGTGTTTTGCCTTGTGTGGCGTTCTCTGCTGTCTTAAGTGTGGTGTGTGGTGGCCAGGAGTACCTCATCAGTACCAGGGCTGCATACGCTTAGGGGCTTCCTTCCGCATTGCATGTTAGGTTTAGGTTACTGCAAAGCGCTAGGATGGTTTCTCATCTGGATGCCCCGAGGCTGCCCAGTTTTGGTTTTAGGGACCTGGACCTGGGGGCGTTAGTCGCTTCGACTTTGGCTCCTTTCCCTGTGGTTCATCCTGCATCCCCCCCCCCCTGTGGTTCATCTTGCATCCCCTCCCCCCTGTGTCTGGCTCCAGAATGTCTGAGGGTTTCGGCTTCAGTACAGGGTTTAGTTGGTAATGAGGCTCAGGCGGCTTCAGTGGCTGCCCCATTCGGGTCGGAGACGGAGGCATTTGAGCCGGTTCCTCCTGCCGAGGCTTCTGGATCCCATCAGCAGACCCCCTTCTTTACCCCCTTCTTGTCTGCCTTTCCCCTGGACTCTGCCTTTTCTTCAGGGGTAGAGGGTTTGGAGGACGGCTCTGCCCCCGGGTCCCGACGAGGGGGGATCTTGGTGCTGGGGAGGAGTCAACCTGGGGGCCTTGGGTCCCCTTTAACCCTGCTTGGGTGCTTTTGCCTTCCTTGCGGGGCTTATTGTTGCAGGGGGAGAGGTTTTCTTAACCCCCCCTTCCCTGTATGAGTATGATTTGGGTTCGGTTCCGGGCTCCTTTGGGTACCTCGACTCCATCTTTCCAGAGGTTTTCTACTTCCCGTATCTCCGCGAAGGAGGCTCGGGAGGCTATTGCTGCATACTTCTTGCGAGACCCGGTTTATGCCTCTGTGATGGATCCATCCTCGCTTGAGTTCGGTTCTTCTACCCGTTTTTGGGTGTGTTTGGAGATTCCGGAGTCTTCCCGGCTAGCAGACTGCCCTTTCTTTTCGTTGGGGGTGTGGCATGGGTTCTGTTGGACCCACACGCTTGATTGACGTGAAACTTCTACATTTACGCAGGTTTACCTGGGGGGGCGAGTTTGAGCACCTTAACATTTTGATGCTCTGGGCGCGCATGCACCGCACTACTCCGGGTGGGTTTGGACATTCCGCAGGAGTGCGCGGTAATTCTGAAAAGTGTATAATCTTTTCAACTTTGTTACCTCAATTCTCGTCCTAGGTTTTTCAATTTGGTATCATTGTGTTCGCAATAGAATTCTCTACAGGACTAAAGGCATATTAAGTCCAAATGCCCAGCATACCATCCACAACAAACAGAGAAAGTGAGAGCGTGTTACCCGGGTGCGCTCAAGACCGATAAAATATGTACACTCTTTTCACTTTGGTCACCTCAATTCTCGTCCTAGGTCTTTCATTTTTGCATCAATGTGTTTGCAATAGAATTCCCAACAGGTGTATATGCATATAATGTCAAAACCAGTGGTACGCTCCACCTGACGACAAGATGAAAGTTACCAGAAAGGGAGCGCTACGCCACCCCATGGCGCCTCTCATTACAATAGAGAGCGTGGTCATACTGAAATGTGTATATTCTTTTCAACTTTTTCATCTCAATTCTCATCCTAGGTTTTTCAATTTGGTATCAATGTGTTCGCAAAAGAATTCTCTTCAAGACTAAATGCATAAAAAGGCCAAAAGCCTGGCGAGAAAGTGAGAGGGTGTTACCCGGGAGCGGGCAAGAGCAATAAAATGTGTACACTCTTCACTTTAGACATCTCAATTCTCGTCCAAGATCTTTCACTTTAGTATCATTATGTTCGCAATAGAATTCCCTACAGGAGTATATGCAAATATAAAGTCCAAAAGCCCGGCGTCCCACCCACAGCAAACAGAGAACTTGGCGGTGCATTACCGCAGTGAGCGATAATAAAGAGCAATAAAATGGGTATACTTTTTCAACTTTATTATCTTAATTCTGGTCCTAGGTCTTTCATTTTGGTATCAATGTATTTGCAATGAAATTCCCTACAGGTGTATATGCATATAACGTCCAAAACCACGGCGTGCCCCTCCCGAAGCCGCCGCCAATTTGCCGCTGGAAATGACGCAATGCTGCGTCGTTACCAGACTACCCTTGAGTAAAAGAACGAGGCAATGCTGCATCATTACCGAGCCGAAATGTTAATACGAGCTTGTTCGCTCCCGCGCTTTCTCGGGATGTTGGGCTTTTCCAGCTTCACGTGCAGGTTCCTCTTCTTTTGGCATCGTTGGTTGCGGAGGATTTGCGTGCCCGTGGGCATTTGGCTTCGGTCTTACGTTTCTTTTCCCTTCTCAAGCTGTCTTCTGCCTGGCTTGAGGAGGATAAGGAAGCGTTGAGTGAAGGGCCTTCGTCTGGGGCGCTGACTTCGGCAGCTAGGGCGTCGGCTGCACTGTTGAAGCTCTTTGTGCCCATCCTGAAGGAAGCGGTGTCTCTGTTTTTTGCTTCTCGTCTCGCGTGCCGTCAGGCTGTGCTCGCCCTCTCTTTGGAATCCTCTTGGGCCCTGACTCTTAGGTTCTCGTCTCCGTTTTGTCCATTGCTGTTTGCAGAGACTGCGGTCTCACAGTTTCTGCAAGCGGCTTCGTCTAGTTGTCGTCCTATGTCGGACTTGTTGGTTCTCCGGGGCGGTCGTTCTCGGCAGTCTCGGAGGGGTCGTGCCAGGGTTCCGGGTTCTGCTGGTCGAGGTGGGCCATTGATACCAGATTCTGAGCCGACATGACCTTCGGTGCTGGCGTCATCTGGTCGGCGCGGTGATCGCCCTGTTCGACGTTTGGGTTCTCATAGGGGCGTCGGCCCTTTCGCGGTTCGCCCCTGGGGGGGAGGCTCGCTTTGTTCGCCCACGCTTGGTCCCATGATTTGTGGGCCTTTTCTGTCGTGTCATCCGGCCTGCGGTGGCATTGGGTGGCCCGTCCTCCTTTGGAGGGTTCGGGGCTAACAGGGCAGGTTTCTTCTGCACTTCGTCAAATCATCTTGTAGTGGGTGTGCTTCGGCTTGGACGAAACGACCCTGTCCCTCAGGGGTCGTTTCAAAACACTTGTTTCAGTAACAAGCATTTTCCCGCTTGTTTCCGGTGCTGAAATGGGACTGTGTGGCTCTGAGGTTAATTCTGGACTTGTCCCGTCTGAACCCCTGGATTCCTTGCTCCTCCTTTCGGACGACTACTCTGTCTCAGGTCCGGCTTCTGTTGGAGCCAGGTACCTGGATGGTGTCCCTGGACCTCGAGGATGCTTATTAGCACGTTCATAATCATCCAGGGTTCAAGGACTGGTTAGGTTTCGTGGTAGGGGGTGCATCATGGTTTGTGTTGGGTGGCGGCTCTTCACTGTTACGTGCGCGCCTCGGCCTCTGTGTTCGGGGACGCGCTTTGGGTTGATCCAGTTTCCTTTTCTTCCCTGTTCGCGGGTGCGGGTCTCCCAGGTCGTCCTCAGAGCTCTTCCGGCTAGCCAGCCTGCGGTCTATCCCCGTGCCCATGACGTTCGTGCGTTCACTGCACTTGCTGCCGTCTTTGGCACCATATCCTGAGCTGACATTTGGGCACTGGACTTTTGGTGGTCGTACTGGGTCCTGGCTGCTTGTTATCTCGTGCACATCCCTAGGCCTAGTCGGGCCTGTGTCATTTTGGGTCGGCAGTTGCAGCAGGTTGTCTCGACTTTGAGTTGTGGAGTGAGCAATGACCGCCTCCCGTTTAAATCAGTATGTTCTTCCTCTGTGGGTAGTTAGCTCTGGGGAGCCAAAGGGACTCCCCCAGAAAGCCAGTGTTGAATGTAATGAAACCCCATTTTCTGGGTGAGACCCGGAGGCTCCCTGGCATTCCTCCCTCCCCCCTGTCAGCGGTTTTTTGTGTGTTTTGACATCAAGCCTCAGAACTGACGGGTGGATAGCCGGCGTGAGGTGTCTGGGGCTCCCTACGCAGACGGCGACATGTGACATCATGATCGTTTGCTCGTTTCTTTCACAGGAGTTCTATCCACTTGTTCAGCTTTTGGTAGCAATAATTTTCCCAGAATAGGGATTTGTTTTGGGATGCTTACCTTTCTGGGTGCCTGACCCAGTCGATGGCAGACATAGAATGCTTCCAACCACAAGGGGGTTTCTATAGGTCATTGCTCCCCATGCCTCTCTGAGGGGGGGCCAAGTTCTGGCTCATGGTGCCCGATAGGCTCACAGAACTCCATACACATGACTGATGCCAAAGTCTGACATTAGCATATCAGCCTAGTAAGCTCCGGGGAGCCTCTGGGTCTCACCCAGAAAATGGCGTTTCATGACATTCAATGCTGTTTTTGTTTTTTTAATGAGCTTTAGTTTTGGATAAGGATTGCAAGAATAAATAGGAATCGGCAGGAGTTAAAGCATAAACGAAATAGCTGATAGTTGAATGATGTCAGTATATATTATGGGTACTTCAGTTACATGCAATCTGCAGATACTTTGTTTTTTCCTTTCCCTGCTGGGCTGTGCATTTCCACCCCATGAAAGTAGTTTAAATGATGTTGATACATATAATTGAGGTGAACTGTGTTAGATATACAGTACTGTAGCTACTGTAATAAAAAATTAATTACATGAGACAGGCCAGTTCAAATTTTGTATGAAAATGTGTCAAAATTTTTACTATATATTGTACGGTACGTATTTAGAAATAGTGGATTCATGTTTGTTCTGTACAGTAAATAATTGTAAATGAATTCAATATTTACATTTAATTTATTACATTTTGATTTATTACAGGTCTGATGCCTAATTTAACCCCGTGGTACAGCAAGAAGGATCCCAAAAAAAGATTTGGATCAAAGAAATACAACAGGTATTTTGACGAGACCACACTTGACGTCAAACCTAAACGTAAATAACTCTGATTCAATGTACAGTACAATATTTTATTTTTTCCTGCATCTATTTGTGACTGGTTCAATGTAAATGGAAATACAGTATATGAATAAATTCCACATCAGTAATTTGACTTTATTGACCTGCTTACTCATTTAGCTCCTGAGCTGCCAGTTGGCATATGTGATAGTGATGGTGTTTTACTTTAAAAAATTATGAACTACAGTAGATTAATTGTGGTATAATGAGTATCGTAATATGATGCTCCTCAATAATAATGCTGCAGCGCGTACAAAGTTGTATTGCAATTCAGTTTTAAAATTGATCACTACTTCTTCACTGCTGGCCATCATTCATGAATGATACTTACTGCAACAAACCTGTTTTGTCGTGTTACTTAGTATTCTCTCCTTTGCAAGCATATTGTTATGTGGTTGTAATGCCAACTGACACCATTGTAACACCATCTGACACCATTGTAACACCAGCTGACACCATTGTAACACCAGCTGAAAATATTGTGTAACCCCTTCCTGATACTACTGTAACCTTGTAGATTACACCCGGGCACTCTTAAGTATATTTCCTAAAACATCTAACCAAAATTTACAGTTGAGGGTAACCTGGTACTCACTACTCTCGCACTGAACCAATGGTACGTTTTCAAGGAACTGCTTAATCTCAATTCAAAGGAGAAACAAGATGTGATTATTTACACTTTAGTGAGGAGACGGAAGAACAAAGAAGGAAGAGTAAGAAATGAGGGAAGAGGATGAGTGAGAGAGGAGGGGGGGAATGGAATAGAGAACGCCGAAGGTTGAGGGAGGCCAAGGGGAAACTAGTAGGGAGTGAATAGAAAATGGAGAATCAGAGCAAGAGGAGAGAAGGGAAGAGTAGGAGGATCAAGGTGTAGACGGAGAAACTAATTATTAATGCTACCACCATCCTGTCTTAATGAGATTGTGAAACATATACAGCAATGTGACAGGAAACACTGCTTTACTGAGAGGTTTCTTCTTTTGATGTAATCACTTACTGACAGTATGTTAATCTATTATGGCACAGTTTGGGAGGTTCAGTGTCCCTGGTGACACATGCAGGAGATGACAAGGGGAAACCAAGTGACAGACACAGATGGAAATTTAACAAAGAGTTTATTAAGTCAAAATTATAATATTCAACCACTGATCCTAAGCCCTCTACACACTGGCATTTCCTAAGTTATTATCCTACATGGGCAAAATAGTAAGTAATTTAGACATGTAATAATACATCAGAGACCAACACATTACCTTATGGAACCCCCTGCCTCTTGCTGCTGGAGACCCTCTGTCTCTTCCTGCCTGGCTGCATGATGTTCTGCAGACCAGCCTCGACTCTGGTACCCAGCACTCGTTGAGTTTTATTCCCCCACACATGGGGTCATTTATACACCCCAAAACTGCCATGCCTAGTATCAGCTGGTTGGGGGGGGAGAGAAGGGACCTCCCTACAAGTGGGAGACTTGTAGAGGTGGTCTGCTTTCACATGCAATGCACTCAGGAATCTTTTCATTAAAGTTGTTTGACAGACTATCATAATTAATGGAGGTGACCGACCACACCACACGTTTTTATGGGAGAAGATAAATCTATTTTCCAGTCGAGATGAGGGCTTGACCCTAAGCTGACTCGAGCCTAGCACAAATTAGTCTACTACTCTTGTTTAGTGATTGTAATTAGTTGTTAAAATGTTTTAATAATATTTCATCGATTTTTTACTTCATTTTTATATGGGGTGGGCATGATGCTCTGCACCATGATGGTAGTCATTCAGCATGATTCGTACACGTTTCTAATTACAGTGGCACCTTGATTAACGAGCGGCTCTACAAGCATTTCAAGTACTGACCGAGCCGTTCGCAGCAAATTTGTCTCTATTGACGAGCTTCACCTCTATTAACGAGCAAAACCACGTGGTGCTTCCTAGCGTCTCGCTGGTTCTCGTAAATTCTCAGACGCCTCCGACGACAGTGTTGTTGTATCGCGCACGACAAGCATCCCTCTGCATTTATTTGTGTTTTTTTTTTTTTGTGTGGGTTTGTGACTACATTTTGTGACGCACGATGTCGCCAAAGAAGCTGCTTGCTAAAGGTAGTGTTGTCAAGGGGAAGAAAGAGACAATTACTGTGGATTTGAAGAAGGAAATTATAGCAAAGCATGAGCGTGGTGTCCGTGTGACTGATCTCACAAGGGAATATGGCAGGTCCTCATCAACAATTTGCACCATTAGTAAGGGGATGAGGAGGAAAGGGAGGATGCTGCCTCTTCCAGTGAGATCAGGGAAGTGTTGGGAATGTTTGAAAAGGTGACCGCATTCTTGGAAAAGCATCATCCTGATAGAGCAGTGACAATCTGGTGTGTGAACATGTTTAATGACAATTTGCTGTCTCATTTTAGGGACATCTTAAAACAAAGACAAAAGCAATTGTCAATAGACTCGTTCTTTGCAAAAGTAAAGACCAGCAAGTGATAGTGAACCACAACCCGGTCCCAGTGGGGTGAAATTCCCAAGAAGAGAGAGGCTGCCTGACTCAGAGGTGGATTCTCCCTCCACACCATAACCCCTCTCCACCTTCCCACCTCCCAATCGTCTCCCTCAAGCCAGCAACGATTCTTCATAAGGTAAAGTAAGCATGAAAACAGTACAACAAAACATTTATAATTACATGTGGAGTATTATATTTACATTATAAAATATCATACAAGTATGGATGTTTTTGGGAGTGGAATGGATTAAATTTATTTCCTTTATTTTAAATGGGGAAATTTGTTTCTTAAGACGAGTTTTCCACATAACGAGCTCGGTGCCAGAACGGATTAAACTCGTTAATCGAGGTGCCACTGTAATTTTGATTACCCTTCCTCCCCCCATATAGTCCAAATTAGTGAGGATAATCTGTAGTTGGTATACTGTATTACATTATAATTTTTAATCTGATATTTTACATTAGGTACAGTATAGTGTACTGTGCAGATTATTAGGTGTCCTAAGAGCTGAAGATGTTTTAAAAGGTATTTGTAATATTTTACTGTCAGCAGATGCCTGCCTCAACTTTGTCTGCTTTGTGACAAAGGCTAGAATTTCATTGCCTCGCCTATTGATTAGTAAAGGTGAAAACAAGATACTATTTGTGTGGATACCGAATCCCTCACGGCAGCCCAGCCATTAGCAAGAACTGGTGAAACCACAATCCATTTGTGGCATAAATGTTCTTTATAAACACCAGATCTGTACATGCTAATTGATCCCATATTGTTGCCTAATCTTAGTTATTTCTGTACTCTATTTAATGAAGCTATATGAACATATGTTTGACTTTTTATTGTAATAGATATATTATACACTTTACAGTACAGTATAGTGTTGGTAATGAATGGTAAAATACATACCTGGTTAGACAATACAGTTGCATTTTTACAGTGGTAACTTGAGAGAATGTGCTGTGTACTCTGAATGAGTAATCAACTAGTGGAATGCACTGAAAGTGGAAGCCACCTCCACTGCTTCAAAAACGAAATATGACACAAATTTAACACAGTGATTACAAATGCACCATTAGACTTCCCAGTGGTTAGTTATATATACTGTACCTCGGTTACCTTTGGAGTAATGCACAGGTAAGAGGAGCTAAATTACTATATTACAGTACTTTTGTGGAAGTCTTCTCGCCCCGAGGTAAATATAGTGAGTGACTAGATCCGAGGGTCTTCCCACAGCACAAGCATTATAATATTATTGGACAGCAGGATTCACTTCTCTCTGGTTTGGCTACTGTCATCCAGAAGACAATCAAAGGTGTTACATTGCACCTTGTGTGTGAGAGTTATGCACACCTAGGAAAAATCCCACAAGTGCTGCAGTGTGCTTACTTGCCTAAAAGTGACGAGTGTGTGAGGTTTAGCTCTTTATGACCCACCTGGCCTTGTTGTACTTGGCACATTTTATTTTAACTTTTCTGGTGTTCAAATTTGTTGTATGTCTTTGAAGTTGTGGATGAAGGTGTGGAGGGTCTTCCACATTTTTCAATGCATTCCAATATAAATAAATAAATAAATAAATATAAACAACTGCAACTGAAGCCCAAGCTTTTATAATGTGGGATTTTAACACCACAATTGAAAGGGAAAAAAATTCTGTACCTAGTAGAGGACACCTTTCTCATGCACTATTGAGCACACTTGATGTAACAGCATTTTAGATCTTGTTCAAACATCAGAAGAGGGCATGTTCAATCAAATCCAGATAGGGGAGACGCTCACTCCTTCACGTGAACACTATATCTTAAGATGGAATACAATTAAAGACAAATGGCTAAATATGTCCAGACTCTACCACCAACTCGGTCAAATGCTGGAGAGGACGTAAACACAGCGGCCTCCTTACTAGAGCCTCAGATATTAGCACCAAGTAAAACATCCAGCACTAACACAAACATAACATTTTTTTTGCCAACATTCAGTGTATAAAAACACGCAAATCTAACAAAGTGCACTTCATAGATGGCCTCTTGCATGAGGCAAATGCAGTGTTTGCAGCCCTGACTGAAACTCACACCAAGGACTACCATGATGGCGAAATATGGATTTTGGAGTACAATCTTTTCAGATGCGACAGGAAACACAGGCTACAGGGTGGGGTCAGCCTCTACATCAAAGATATATTCATCTGTTCTGAGCTGCTAAACACTACAAATGATATGGTGGAAGTGCTGATAATCAAAATAAAGATCTTAAATGCAGTTATTGGCCTTATATATGAGTCACCGGAGGCAAATCATCAGCAGTTTAAAGACCAACTTATGAAAACAGAACACTGCTTGGGAAAACCTCACAAATTCAGCCCCGAACATCATCCTGCTTGGGGACTTCAACCTACGGCACCTGAAATGGAAGAACCTAGCTAATACAGTTATATCAGAAAGAATACCAGGAAGTAGCCTAAATGAACAGGCACATGCAAATGACCTGCTACGGGTGTGCTACAGGTTTGCCTTAAACCAGCAAACAGTAGAACCATCTAGGAAGGAGAACACACTGGACCTCATTTTCACCAATAATGATGATCAGGAAAATAATGATAATAATAT